AGAGGGAACATCTCTCTAATTTGATTATGTATATGTGTGATGTGAGAATGAGTGCGTGCTACTTTTTATGCATTTTGTTATAACAAATAATGCAACAATCAAAGAAACAAAAATACAGAAAAATCGAAACAAGTGAAGAAAGAAAATGTGAAGTGTTCTCACGAAAAGTTCCACTAGTCGGTTTGACCTAATAATATTTTCAATATAGTAAGAATAATACATTTCTAATCTTGAGACAATAATTATGAAGTGCTTAAAACGTTTTTAACAAGAACAAGTCACACGGTGGATTAACAAGAACAAGTCACACAGTGGAATTTTACTCCCGACTTCAATGAATTATATACTCTATATATATCCCACGACAGCTTATTTCTTCAAACTATCTCATCTGCCTTTTTTCTACATTATAAAGCTATGGCTTCCGAATGCAACAAGTCTTTCTGTAGTGATTATATGCTGCTAAAGCCAGAGGAAGCTGGCTTGGTTGATGTCTTTCGCATCTTATTTTCCGATGACATCGGGAAGAGAAAATTTATCGACTGCCCAGAGGGGAAACAGTCGGCGCCATTCAAGCGTAGATGGCTGATCTTTGTTGCTATCTTGGTGCTGAAGCTTTTGCTAGCAGTGGAGAAACCCATGGCGTGGTTTGGTTCTTCTGTCGAGCAATGGTTAAATCTTTTCTCGAGCAATGGCAGTTTATCGAGTCTCGTGCTCAACTTCTTACGTGGTAATTATATTTTCTTTCTAGCATGTTTGATTTAGTATATTAAACAATATACTGAATATATGAGGCATGATAAAAATTTCTCACTGCTAACGTGGCAAGAAAACCTTATGTATGGTTCTCTGCAACCTTACTTATGGACTTATGGTTCTCTACAACCTGCCAAAGAATCATACTCACAGTTCTCTCAGTCACATCAATAGTGGGAAGTTTTTATCATACCCAGGAGATCATTTCTAATATACTTTCTTTCTTGGTTATTGTCAATATTGTCTAGTTCTCTGTATGTTATATCTTATGCTACACTATTTTGTGTTGCACCCCCACCTGCCCTGATGCTGCTTATTTTCGAGTGAAGTGAATGACAATTATAACAACGAATTTAATATATTTCAAATTTCTAATTTTTCCAATTGAATTGCTGGTTACAAAACTCTAATGGATATTGTAAAATTTCTATGCTAATGCAAATTAATGAAAAATTGAAATCCCTTCTCATCCTAGTACCATGTAAGGATGTGTTCTCATCTTTATTTCAAACACCAAACTTTGAGAGTTACCTATCTCTCTAATTTTTTCTCTTCTCTCTTTGCTTTCAAGAGTGTAAACATTCTCAATTTGCCTAAAGCAGTGGCAAGGTATTAGTCAACTACTTATATCCTATGAGATGGATGTCGTCAATCATCAAGGTGGGGACAAATCTATTTCAAAGAAATTATGTGTAACATATGCCTCAATTGCTTTCATTTCCGCCCTTAAATCAAAAACCATATTTCCTCTATTTTATTATTTCCCTGTTCGTTGAAATACTTTTTTCCCAATATTATATATATATATATATAACTCCAGCAGAATCTTCAATTTTCTTTTGTATTTTTCCTGACAAGACTAAATATAAAATTGTTCGTAATAATCTCACACGTCTTTTAGCCATTGTAGAACCTAGTTAATAGTATTGTTTTCCTTTTAATGGGGCTACTATTATTTCGCGATTTATGGGCAAAAATTATTGCTTCTCCAAAATAAAAACTCCACCTTCGATGGTTTGGCTATGGAAAGAATCCAACAACAAAAGATTAAAAAATAGAGAAGAATAAAAATATTGATATCTGCAGCAATTTATCTTAATAACTAGAACAAATTGTAGACCTCGTCCTAAACAAATAAAGCAACAATCAGAGAAACAAAAATACAGAAAAATTTCTCACTGCTAACATGGCAAGAGAAACTTATGTATGGTTCTCTGTAACCTCATTTATGGACTTATAGCTCTCTACAACCTGTCAAAGAATCATACTCAGGGTTTTCTCTATCACATCCATTGGCGGATCTAGGGGGCTCCAACTTTTGAGAATTTTTTTAATAAAATCTTGTTTGGTATCGATTGAAATCTAAATTTTAATATAAATCAAAGTTAACAATTAATTTTAATAACATATTTCGTGGAATTCATAACTTTTTAACTTTTATCAAAATTTACTAAAAAATTGATTTTAATATCCACCAAACAGGGGGAAAATTACAATAAATTTGAATTTCGATAACATGTTAATTTTAAAAATTCTCCGACGATCGTACGTTAATCAAAATTACAAATTGTTTATGTCATCTCAAAACTTATTTCGAGAACTGCATTGTGAGCATATCGAATAATCCAAGCAGATATCGAAAATAGTTGAAAATACGTTAAACGTGAATTTTAAAAAAAGACGTTTAACTCGCATTTTTTTTAAAAAATTCAATTATTCCATTAACATTTATTATTTTTGCGATACAAATTTCTTAACGTAATTTTCATCATTTTATTAT